GGCAAATACCACTCGTGCTATTAGTCACGAGACGGATGGCTACAGGTGGTGGACTGTACAAAAGCACGCTGCTGATGTTGAGCTCGAACTGCAGCGGGAATTGAACTGAGCAAGCATACTGTGCTAACGGCAGGGCCGTTGCTGATAGCGAATTGTGCTTTCTTTTCTTTGGTATATAACTTCTGGGTATCGAGGCTGCGACTGTTGTATTCCTACGACTGACTATATGCGGTTGGCCTACCGCCATTGTCCATTGTCCTTCGCCTGGCTACTGCGCACGACTGTTAGGCGCGTAGTGTAGGTGAGTTGCTACATGTTGCTGAGTTGTACAGCGGGTATACGCTGTTGTGCACAGCTGCTGAACGTACGGTGTCGGTTAACTGCTGATCGTGATTATGCTATTGCCTCCAGAAAATGAAATTGCTGGTATGGCCGGGAGTTATCGGGTTGCCATCGTAAATAATTGGTCGATGCGGAAGCGGTGGTTTGGTCAAAAAAGAAGGGGCACGGTGACTGGAAGGAAGTAATCAAACTTAGATAAGGGGATACATTGTTGCGATTTGAAGGACCGTCAGGAAGGTCAACGTGCGACGTTTGACGTCAGTCTGGCGGTATTACTGCATTTGGCCACCATTGCGGGGCCCTCAGGCGCATGAAGGTAACAGGGCCCTCTCCAGGGAGTTGAGTCTGTCCCCCTTTTGTATCTCGAGAGTCTTGAAACCCCTTTTCTTCTGCCCTTCTTACTCTCAGTCTAATCCTGTTCAGAGAGGAAGGCGGCAGGCGGGATTGCAACCCGCAGGACCGCAGCAAGACTCTGTGGGGAGTCAGCCCACCGATTGCGGGAGCTCTGTCGGGACTCAGGAGGAGTTCTGGAGGCAGGGAACTGACAGGTAACCATTGCTTTCCCCTCTATAAACCCAGACTATAGCCCCTATCTGTATCTCCCATTGCATCTCTGACTGAATATATGATGTGCAGCCCTACTTTATTCTTTCGTTTGACTTTCAGGACACTGGACAAGACTAAGTAAAGGAATATTTGTTCAAGTTTCAGTTTCAACTTTATTGATTGTGTGAATTCAGATTGCTGAAAAAAATTGCATCTGGGGAAAGGCAGGACGGAGGGTTGTTTTGCTTGAAGGTTGACTGGGTCCTTAAGGCTGGGAGGTCCCCATAAGTTTGGGGAGACCCAGTGCTTTGTTTCTTTTGGTTTTGATTGAAGCATCAAACCCTTTTATAAGCTTAGGGGGTCTAATTGCTTTGGAGGCTGGGATGTCCCCATAAGTTTGGGGAGACCCAGTGCTATGGTTTTGCATGGAGGGTCAGGTTGTTCTATAAGTTTAGGTGGCCTGACTGCTCTGACTTGTGAAGGGTCTGATTGTGTCTGATTTTCAAGGACTTGGGGCATTCAATAAGTTTTGGTGCCTTGGGTTGCCTTGTTTTCACTAGGGTTTTATCTGTTTCTTTGGTTTCTGAACGAGGAGGTCTGAGTTGTTCTATAGTTTAGGTGGCTCAGCCTCTTCCTGCTTTTTATTCTGAAGAAGTAATCTTGGCAAAGGGCAGACCCTTCTGTAAGTTCAGGGGGTCTGACTTGATGCCACACACATGATGATTCAGAGAGAAATGAAAATTGGCAGAGAGTTGGATCCTTCTGTAAGTTTAGGGGGTCTGGCTCAGAGCCTCGCACATGGTGGAACCCAATGGTTATAACTTGGCTATACTTTATTACTATCCTATTTAAGAACGAGCTAATTAGACTGTTCTATAAGTTTAGGTGGTCTGACTATAGCCTACCACAACTTGAAGAGAGTATAATTAGGAGTAAAATCGATGGTAAGTTGGGGCAGGCTGAACTTAAGTTAGTTCAGTCCTATGCAGCCTTAGAAGACGAAGGGAAGACAAATATATATAACTTGGATATCTTAAACAACTCAGGGCGACTAGAAAGGTCTAGTCATATGCCCAAAGAAGAGAGAAGTAGTTGTGCCCTCTGTTTTGTGTATATTCAATGGCTAAGTTAGGCATGTCCCATAAGTTTGGATGACCTGACTTTACGCCTTATGAAAGTTGGGTACAAGGGTCAAATCACTGAAAGACTATGAACTATTGTTTGTCCAACTTTACTTGGGGCTGGTGAGAGTACTTACCTTCGTGGTTTGGCCTGCATGTGGTTGAGTGAGACGACTACCTGATCTGAGTTTCAGTTTGGTAGGTAGTTGCTTTAGATGCTCGCCACGTGCTAGAGCGATAGGAGTTAGTTTCAATTCCTGCATTTTCTGTGATAGCTTTCTTTACTTAGGTCAATTCTTGCATTTTCAGGGATAATTTTTTTTATACTTAGCTTTGTATAAATTTTGGCAAGCTACTTTCTCTACGGGAAGCGCTGCCGAAATTTTTACAAATCCAAGGAGTTAGTCAATTTTTCACTTGTCAAAGTTCAACTTGTCTTTTCTTTATATCTGACTTAGTAAAAATCTGAAAAGTCTCATTTTCTAAAGGGAGTGCTGCCCAAATTTTTGCTAATTCCTGGAATTAGACAAAATTGGACTTTGAAAAGTCAAAGTTAGTTTCAGGTTCTGAACTTAGCTTTGTATAAATCTTGGACTAACATTTTTCCAAAGGGAGTGCTGCCAAAATTTCTACAAATCTAAGGAATTGTTTTTTTTTTTTTTTGACAGAAACTTGAGTTATTATGAGTTTAAACCTGAGATAGTATAAATCTGGGAAGTTTCCTTTTTCTAAAGGGAGTGCTGCCCAAATTTTTACTAATTCAGGGAGCTAGACAAAATTTGACTTTCTTGAGTTAGAGATTATTTCTGCTTTCATATTTGAGCTTATATAAATTCTGGAAAGGCACTTTTCCTACGGGAAGCGCTGCCAAAATTTTCTTAGTTTAAAGGAGTTAGATTATATTATGACAGGTGGCGATTCAAGTGATCCACTCTGGATGGGGGAGATTCTGCCATCAGCCTACCTTTGCTTTGGGTACTGGCTTAGAGGTAGGCTTAGACCTGGTTGGCAGATAGCTTGAGTGAGAATGTGCTATGGAGGTTCACCCCCCATATGCTGATGATTTGCTTGGGCATTGACCTGTTTTATGGTACAGGTCTTTCTTGGACAGTCGATTCAGGACTTGGACTAGTTCAAGCTTGATCCTACAAGGGTCATCTCCTGTTATCATTGATAACAGATCGGTTGGTTGATCGTCGATTCGTCGGCTCACGACACAACTTTGCCTATACCTGTACCTCAACTTGATTGCCTTAGCCCTGAGATTTGACATGTTTCTTTGAGGGTTTTAACCGAATTTCTTTTAAATGGCCATTATAAAGAACTTGTGAGATTAATGGAGATTTTGATTATGACTGGGGCTTGAGTGTGTGAGTTACAGGGAACAGTAAAGTTGACCACATTGGTGTATGGCAATGTGGCTATTATGTGTGTCTGTGTTTTATGCAGGTTAGTATTTTGGAGCTTGGTATATGGGCTATACTTTGGAGGCAGTGAGAATGACAACCATGTGTCGCACGATCTGCATACCTGATGGGTTTATGTGTTTCCCCTCTTTTGTTGTTATCTCAAGTCCTGATTTGATATATGAGTGTTGGGATGCTTATTTAGTTATTGATTGATTTTCGCTTGTTAATTTGTATAGTCGGACGTTGTAGTCCGTGGCAGCCGTCAAAGTCAAACCCCTTGACTTCAGCCCAAGCCTGGAGTGGGGCTCATCTCCAGGGCGGTAAGAGACGACTGCCACCACAGGTATGGACCTGTGTACCACCCACTCTGCACAGGGTGCAGAAGAGGGTGTGTGGTCTTCAACCGCGCATGGCAGTTGTCCAACGTCGAGAGGTTAACCCTCAAGGCGTGTGTCAGCCGACACTTGAGTGTCGAATGCGACCCTCGTGATTAACAAGGGTCGCATGATCATGGGTACTACATAGTACGCCATCATTGCGATCGCTTGCGTACGCTTGCGTTGCGAATCGATATGAGTTAGCCCTGCGTCCGCGCGGTTCTATACTAAATCTCACGCGCGACGCCTATCTGATTTATGCATCGGAAAGTTATGGGACGACTATCGAGGGGCTAGGAGCGTAATCGCGTTGTTTGTATTGTGTCGTTTCGTATGAGTGTGTGTGTGTGTTTTATTTTTATGTTTATGGGAGTGGTGTGCGCGTGGTGAGTGGGATACGTCCTAGTCGACCGACGACGGGCCGCGCTTGGGACTTCAGCCCCCCAAGTTGACGGGTCGCGTGCGGGTCCGATAGAGGTGTATTACCGCGCGTGCCCCCTATGCTACAACGGACGAGAAACGCCATCGGCTGGTTCACCTCTGCGATTGCAGCTGATTAGCTTTCGTACTGTGGACTGGTAGCTCGGCGGGGATACGCCCACCGAAGGGAGGTGACAACTCCCGTAAGGTGGAGGTAAGTTGTGCCTCGCGGAGGCCCTATCCTGTCGTAGGGGCTCGCNCCCACCGAAGGGAGGTGACAACTCCCGTAAGGTGGAGGTAAGTTGTGCCTCGCGGAGGCCCTATCCTGTCGTAGGGGCTCGCGAGAGGTATGGCTGGCGCACTCGGCCGGAGCGGCTTGCGGAAGCTCCATGTATATTTGCGACGAGGGATTTAAAAACCAACTCCTGCGTGACGCGGCCGGGAGGGTCCCGTGCTGCCACATGCGGTGCCGGACCGATGCGCTCGACACCGTCATTCCTCGTCGCCGCCCTGCATTCTTCTCGCCGTCATTCCTCGTCGCCGCCCTGCATTCTTCTCGCCGTCATTCCTCGTCGCCGCCCTGTGGTCACACAGCTCCGCGCCTGTACAAGGCATCTTTCCTTCTCGCCAACCCGTTGTCTTCGCGCCATCTTCCCTTCTCGCCTCGCCGCCCCTTAGTCATCGCGCCATCTTTCCTTCTCGCCGCTCGGCGGTCTTCGCGCCCGGAAGTTCAGGGAGTGTAATCGGACGCGCGTTTGTGGGAACCGCCATGTCGGCCCGTGGAGACGGACGGGGGAAGGGTGCCTTAAACCAGGTCATGGAGGTCACGACTCCCGCGAAAAAGGGACGCCATCAACCGAAGAAGCAGAGGAAGGTCGTCCAAGGCGGGGCCGCAGGTAGTACGTGAGACGTTAATGAGGAGGTGGTGGAGGAGCACGAGATGATGCACGAGGACGACGACTTTGAAGAGGAAGAGGAACAACCGCTGAAGAGGAAGCCGAGGGCGAGTTCCGCGGGGGGGATAAAAATCAACGAAGGGGGGGACGGGACACCTTCCGCACGACGTGGCGGTGGGGGTGTCGCGGGTGGACACGCCGACTTTGTCGACGATGAACGCGATGTGCCAAGGAGGGAGATCGGTGGGCGTGTGAAGGAAGGGGTCGCCTCGCATGAATCTACGCAACGCGCGCAAATGCCCTCGAAACGCCTCAATACCCCGCCTGTAGACGTGGCGGGTAGTTCCCAATCGACGGTCCAAGGTGGGGCGTTGCAATCTCCTTCGGTGGTGTCGCACAACGGCGCTGTTACGGCGGCGGGGGAGGCACGGGAAATTCCGAAGGCAGGGGATGGTGGGGTGGTTGCAGAAGACGACGAGGCTCTGGTGCACAGGCTGCATGGGGCACGTGCGGCGTCACATGCAATGGATGCTGCCACCAAACTTTGGGAGGACGACACACGATTCTGGAACGAGACGCAGGGGAGCGCCATACTGAAGATCATCCAAGAAGCGTGCGCGTATCTCGTGGCATTGGCGCGGGGAGTGCAGCCTCCGGCTATTCGACGGAGCATCTCCCTTCCACACAACACCATCCCCCAGCACAAAATCGAGTATGAATCAAAGTTCAATGCGGCGAAAGAGAGGGCGTTGAAGGTGCAGACAATCTCGCTGAGGGCGATCCACGGTTGGGTCTTCAAGTCCGAGAGTGGACGAAGGGGGTATCACTTGGCGTACCAGTACGCCTTGAATCACTCAACCACTGACATTGCTAGAGTGATGTGGTCAGCAGAGGACTGGCGCACTTTGGTCAGCCCGATGTTATATGAAGTTGCCTTTGTGGTTCGTCGGTGCGAACATAGTGGACAGGTACGAGGACGACGAGTGTGTGGCTTACCAAGAGGCTTGTGTTCAGCGTCTGGTGCGGGATTTTACGAGCGCAGTGGGCACGGTCGAAGCGATCGACGGCGGTCGTGTATCGTACGAGCGTCTTAAGGCCATGGCAGAGGCGATGAGGTACTTGCTGGCCGCAACAATGTGGATAATGTGAATGGCAGGGGACGATCCAAGATCTCATTACGACGCTTGGGTTTTCGTGCAACTGTCTGCAAAGACGACGCTGCTTGCGTACATGAACCATCAATTCGACGCCCGCCGCCACATCATGCAAGCCGCACAAGTCATGACGGACAAGTTGGGGAGACCGCCTCCGACCTTCGCCCCCCCACCTGTCTACATCCCTGATTGGGCGTCAAAGTGCAGAGTCACTTTCTCGCACGACGTGACATTGGCCTCCCCGATGGAGGCGAAAAGGTTGGATTGGTTGCGGATAGGCCCCCCCAAGGACAACGATGAGGACGACGACGGTGCTGACAAAGGCCAGGGTGGGTGATGTGCATGACATCGCGATAGGGAAGGGGAAGATGTCGTCGCTTCTTTGACGACGGCAGCAAATGCAAGCAGTCACTCCACGGCAAGCGGTTTGTGTAAATACTTCGCGTGATCGGGCGTGGAGTGACGATTCTCGAACGGCATATCCGTCTTCCACCGACGTGGCGAACACTCTCTATTTCGCCACGACCTGTCCAGATCGTAGGTAGACCGTAGAGGAGGAAGGGGGTTTACGGTTAGGGGCTTTTATGCGGGGCATGGGGTGGGTACTGAAAAGGCTTATGGGGGAGATGGGGGTTTGTGGCAGCGTGGGTGGTTGCTTTCGGGGCAGGACTAGATGAGTAGGCAGGTATAATGGGCGGCGGCAGCTGCATTTCCGTGGGCCCGCTCGCCGTTCAACCATTGTTGTGTAGTACTATGTAGTTCTCCACGATTTTGTATTTAGTATTTTTATTTTTATTTTTTTCCGTTTTCGTTTATTGGGTCTTGCCATCTTAATGTTCAGTCTATCGACCGAACAAACAGATGTGCAATGCTGTAATCCGAACGTCCTTTCGTTTACTGATCTTGATGATCTTCACAGCCATGAGTTGTTTTTGTTTTCAATCGATCCCTCAGTTTTTATATAGCGTATTTGAGGCGGGGTTGCTTTGTTCTCATATTGAATGCTGATTGTTGATGGCGAGAAATTGAAGCATCCAACTATGTTTTCATCATTCCAGTTTTCGAACATCCAATCCATGCATTCGTCTTCCTTTCCATCTTTCCAGGAACTGATTGTAATGCGAGACGGGATTGGAAATGCATAAAATTGGGAATGGCATAGGTCGATGCAGATAAAGTGATAGACATTCTTCCGAACCACGGACAAAACAACTGTGGCGCACCATTGCAAACGCATGCAATCACAGTTCCCGCGAACACAAAAACGAAAGAAAAGATGAAGGAACACAATTCTGCGCACACCGATATAAGCAAAGAATACTCCGTCGTCAAAAGGGGAAAAGCCTTTCAAGGCAAACGCATTTCCATTTCGCAACCAGATGGATGATCTCCCCCCCTGCCCCCCCCCCCCCCCCCTCATCACAATCACTATCTCGCCGAATGACACGTCCAACCGCGCCACGCGGACTCCGCCAACGACGACAGCCACCACCACCGATTACAATAGCGCACCCAACACTGACTGTAAGCGCGCCTAGTGTTCGGCACAGAACAAGTGAAGCAAAAAAATATAACGAGCCCCGAAAACCAGAACTAGTCACCACACACACGAAGACACCTACGCGCACTGCCCACGGGAGACACGTCATACACTTCTCGCCAGAACGACGCTACCATGGGTCGACTACTGCGGCACAATACGGAAGATTACCCCCCCTGACGGACGGTGACATGGGTTAGATGGGGATGATGCACACTGCGCCTGACGACAATAATACAGCACATCTCGACGGCAGCAGACTTGAGGGCATCATCATCGTGAAGACACGGAATTGCCAGTGCTTGTGGGAAGCGGACCTCCCCTTCCTTCCCGCAGCAGCGTCCCTTCGATGCTTCCCCGCTTCATAGAGCTCCGTTCTTCCGCCTCATCAAGGTCACAACGCGGTCTCCGCCTGCACGCACGACCATCCTCAGTGCGCACTCATCCGCTCTGCCAGCGCATCCCCCGATTGACTCCATGCACACCGGCCTCAGTGGCTGATGCATCCCAAGATCGACTCTACGACGCACGCCGTCCGGACCCACCTCCCACAGCAGATTGTCCTCAAACGGGACGCCTGCGTCAATGAGTATGTTGTGAGGATGCAGATGACGACAAATTATTGCGGCAAGGTCTCCATGTTGCACTTGTGGGTGGGGAGGAATAACCTCCACATCCCCTTCAGTCTGCCAAATGCTCTCTCCACTGCTCCCCTAGCCGTCTTTTGTTTGTTGTCGAACCGTGCCTCCGACGGGTGCTGCACGAGACCGCCGTAAGGGACGACTATCCATTCCGACTGGGGATAACCATCATCGCCGAGCAAGTAGCCATTAGTCCGCACACCGAAAGGCAGCATCACAGGCCGCCCAGTGAAAAGTTGTCCTTCCTCCGTGCGCGCCCACAAACTGGACAGGTTCAGCATCCTCATGTCATGCACACTGCCCGGCTAACCGACGAAGACGTCCAGCACACGCAAGTTCATGTCGACGACCACCTGCGCCTGCACGGAGAATCGACGTTTCCTGTCGTAGTAGTCCTCCCCGTTGGCATTGGCGGGCTTGTCGATGTAGATGTGGGTGCAGTCGATGCACCCATGGCAGTTTCGAAAACCCTTGCCTGCGAACCCGCGCAAGACGACCGTCTTCTGCAAACCTGTGGGCCAGGATATCTTATCGGGGTACGCAGTAAGCAATGCCGCAGTGACGTCCCGCACCGTCGTGACGCTGGAAGACCTGCCAATGCCAAAGCTACACGTCCCGCTGTCGTATGTCTCCCCCATCACCCACCTATACAGAGCGTAGGCGATGATGTGGTCCGGCTGCAAGGGCACCCTGTACAACGTCACACGGCGTTGCAGGAGTGGGGAAAGAGTCTCCGCGATCTCGCAGAAAACACACGGCAACATTCGAAGCTTGTCCTTGAAGTACTCATCTGTCATGTCATCACATTGCCGCAGATCCTCCCACGTACCTCCTGTCCGCCGCTTCATCCACCACCTTGGAGTCGCCCGTGGAAACGCGCCGCACCCCATCGCGTAGCAGACCTGCAGCACCGTGTGGGAAATGGCACCGACATGCGGCGTGCACGAACGGCCGCTTTGAACTTCCCCTCTTTGCTCGCCATTTGGCAACGGAAAAGGACGACATTCACCGTCGCAGCGACAGCCGTCCTCTCTGCCGTCGACAGACCGTCACGCCCGACCTCGCCGTCAATATCCATCCTCGACGCCGCTTCCAAGGACATCACGTCAATAACTACACACGACTGCACAAACGCCGCCACGTGGAAGAACACAGCGCCGCCTCTGCAGACAACCTTGAACACCACGCACTGACGACGGTCGTGTGCCCGCGACGATGGTGAGAAGTCGATGTCGTCTCCGGTTGTGCGCAAGCGTAGACCTGCGTACTCTTCGACGACAACCGCTGGCCACCATCGTCACTTATGTGAACGCCCCAAACGGCAGACGCTGATGCAATCGGGTGTGGAACGTACGTCCACCACGCGCCCCCAATCGCACAGCAAGATTTCGAATTTCGAATTTTGAACTGTGCCCGTGCGCGCCATTTCCAATGGCCCCTTTTCTGTTTTTGTTTTTTTTGTTTTTGGTGTCCTGCCGTGATTCGAATTCGCGACGGCCAACAGAGGTGGACCGCCGTCCGCACGGACACAACTCGCTGGACCACCCTCGCCCGCCCCCCCCCGTCCGCTTGTGGATATATAAATCTGGCCGCGGGAGCCCCGAGGAATCGTCCTCAGGGGATGACTCCGAGGATGAGTGGAACGAAGGCGGGAATTTCCTCGGGCGACTCCAAGGAATCGTCCTCGGGGCCAGAGGACGGCCCGAGGAGTGTCGAACAAGCCCTCAGTCCCGGATATACACCTAATTTTGCCTCAGGCTGGGTATGTTCATAATTTGTGCATTCCAGTAGTTGGTTATAACTGCAGTTTTAGCAGGTAAACCTCAGTCCCCGGTATGCCCACAATTTTGCCTGGGTATGTCCATAATTTGTGGATTCTGGTAGTTGGTTATAACTGCAAGGTTGGGGCACCAACCTGGGTCCACCTCACGGCTAACTCACACTACCACGTAGTTTCACAAAATCGCAAATTTTACTGGTTTTCAGCGTCACATAGGGCAGGTAAATGTCAGGCATGTGCCCCTTGTGACATGTGCCCCTTGTGACCTGGTCACAAGGTGCACATATTTTGGGTGTTCACGCGAAAGAGCAGGTAAATGTCAGGGGCCTGGACCGCCGCAGGTTTACGTATTTTGTGGGGACCTGTGGAGGTCCCAGGGAAATCTTTTTTTTTTCCCACGTACATCTCAGAGAGAGAGAAATGTCTAGAAATTTGTAATATTTCCTTTTCCTCTATTGCTTTCTGGAAACTATAAAAAAAAATCATAATTCTTTCTCCTCTCTTGCTTTCTGAAAACAAAACAAATAATAATTGCGCATAGCGCTATATGACTGCACACAAGCATCTCGAGGCCAGGTGCCGACGGTCTTCTTTCTGTTTTGGGGGGAACAAACAGGTGAGCAGTGTGACCCAGAAGTGCTGTATAAATGCAAATTCGCATACATAAAATTTGACAAACATACGTGCTATTGTGATTATGCCCTCAGTCCTGGGCATGCAAATAATTTCCACCGGCTGGCTATAGGTGCACGCTGGCATTGGGACTGGGAATAGCGGGTATTCCCATCTTTAAGTGGGGTACAGATGCAATTTCCCTTTTTTTTCCAAGGAGTGCATCCAAACATGACAACACACGAAACACACACTTTCCTCGCAAGCGCGTGGGACTTCTCGCTGCTTTCTCAGGGCCAGATCCCACTGGCAACGAGGATTGGAAGAAGTGGCCGAATCTGGACGTGTTCCGCACAGAGATGCAGAAACGCTGCTTCAAAAGCAGAACAGTCACAATTTTTTGCACATCTCCGCAAACATGTCCAGATTCACACTCGTTTTCCCCATCCTCTTTGCCAGTGGGATCTGGTCCTCAGTCCGATGACTCCAGGCCGGGACCGGTAATCATCCTGTGATTCAACCCTGCTACCTGTAATGGCCTTATGATTCAAGCCCAGTGCTGGAGCCGAACTGTGTCCGCCCAGAAGGCCAGAGGAACTCCACTAGGCCCTCAGCACCTGAAGGCTGAAGCCCAGGGATCCAGGACTGCCGACCCTCTGTTCGCCCCAACCTAAATTGGTTCGACTGTTCGAGGAGAAGTCGGCAAGTTACTGGAGGAGAAGGTGGGGATACAACAGAAAGTTCCGAAATTTTTGAGAAAGGTTTTGGCGGGAAGGTCCGAGCATTCGCTGGAGTCCACGTGGCCAAATGTGCAATGGAATCGGCTGGTTGAGAACGGGGGCCTCGGCCCACATGCCATCGAATAGTATAGTTTACTAGTCTGTGTGACAGTAGAAGGCGGGAAACCACAGTAGTGAGGCGAGGCCCTTTGTGTGTTTCCTCAGAGGATTGTAAGCCTCATCGCACTGGCACTTACAGAAATGTATCCAGCCATTTTCAGGGCCGAATCGGTGTTCCCTTTTTTTTGTTTTCCTCCCTCTTTCTGGAATCTGACAGCGGAATCCGTGATCAGAGGATTGTAACCGTGATCACAATGGCACTTAGAGGAATGTATCCAGCCATTTTCATAGCCCAATCCGTGTTTCCATTTTTTTTTTGTTTTTCGTTTCTGGAATCTGACAATCTGGTCACGAGGCTGAGATGCCCTCACTGAGGGCACACTCACACTACGACTTCCAAGAATGTACACAACTGCAATCACGACGTGAGTCAGATTCTCTCCTTGGTTTTTTTTTTTTGTTTTGTGAGTTTCACGGCTGCAACTTTT